GCTACTCTGCAGTAACACTAGATGACGAGTAACATCGCAAAATTAATGGCACAACTGTCTGTTGACATTATGGAAAGATTAGTTTATGCGAGTACTTTTTGTAATGCCAATACGGTCGTGTTGTTAGTTTTGTAATTATTGAAGAGAAACACAATGTATTTATATATATATATATATATTTTTTTTTTTAATTTAAAAATTCTAAACATCAAAAAAAAATGAATTTGTTAAAATTTTTTATATAATAAGTAGGTGTGTAAGATCTAAATTCTATGGAGACTGAAATTTTAGTAAATTGTATCATCATCACAAATAAACAATATGCTAAATTTAAAAGCAAAAAATGAATTTGCTAAAATTTGAAAGAACTGCAATTGTTTTACAGTCGAAAATGTTAGTTTTCATTAAATGTTTGTTGTTACTGGTATATAAACCAGTTATCGAGGTGCATTACAATTTACAACTTTTTTTTTCTTCATTTATTACTAGTTATTTTTGTGCTTTCTCAATTGAGCGTTTCAAAAATATGTTATATATATATATATATATTGTTTATCCTATATTTGCTTTAAACATCTTTAGTTTTGATGTTAATTTTATATGAAAATTCTTTAAATGTGCAATATTTTAAAATGAATACTCATCTTTCTGAATTTAATAATACAATTATAACTGCATATATTTATAGATCTGTTTTAATAAATAACTTTTAGTAATTGAATTAAATTATGAAAGACCAATAATATACTGCCATTTAATAATTTACACAGTTCTGTCTTTTGAAAAATAACTAAGAATGATTTTATTGATAATTTAAATTTAAATAACTTTGCAAATAAAATATTGAGTTAAAGTTGTCAATATGTGTATTTTAGTTGCATTCATATCAATAAGTAATATCATTCCAATATTATAAAACTTATAACTTTATTTATAATAGTTTTAAGTATCATTTAACATTGTTTGTAAAATATATACAAATATTTGTTATGTAAACAAATACAAATATGTTATATATCACACATTTATAATATACTATAATTGTTAATAGCTAATAAGAATGTTATAATGTACTGATAATATTGAAATATATATATTACTATTAGAATTATAACCTCAATCAAAATCTGAATAAAAAAGTATATTAAAATTTAGCAGTGTTACATTTAGAAGAAATATATTATTTATATTGGATTGTCTTAAGTTTAAATTATCTATTTTGCTTACTAATTGTTGTACTTAAAGTATATTTACAGCAATTTGTACTATTTTGTATTTGCACATTTGTACAAACATGTAAATGCTGTTGTTCATACTGTATTATTTAAAATAACAGTAGTTACTTAATTCTGTAACCAATTTATTTGTAATAACAAATAATTAAAGAATATTTAAGAGTTGGATCATTTTTATCTTTTTAAAACTGTCTTTTATCTTTCCAAACTCATGTTTTCAAATAAAATAATTAGTTTATCTTGAAGATTTTAAACATTTC